TATATATATATATATATATATATATAAATAGAGTGCAATGTTTTTTATAAAATATACGTGTTGAGTCTTTTTAGGACGTATAGCCTTGTATTATCCGTGTGTTAATACAATCTTTAAAAGACCTTGTGAAGGAGGTACAAGTGAACTTCTTATTTCAAATTGTGTTATTATTGATGGCGGTGAGGAGGAGGATAAGAGATAGAGCCCTCCTTCCTTCCTCTCCAATTTATACCTCTTAGAATGTGATTATCCTCATAGGATTGCATATAATAAACAAATGTAATGTTGTGGGTTGTATATTACAAAGCCTATTAAGAGTTGTCGTTGATAAGATCCTAAGTGTGGATATCATGATACACGGCATGGACAATATTGAAACAGAGCATTCCTTCCTTTTGTAAGGAAGGATTGCTCAACAAACTCGATGATGTGGCTTGATGCATGCAGGTGAGTTTGGCCCAAAGCTTGTTGGATTCGAGCGAACTTGATAGAAGAGCTCGAGGAGTATGTGAGTACTTGGTAAGAGAAGTTCACATGAAAAACAAGTATCCATGAGTTCAGTAAATATTAACATGTTCGACAGAAGAGATCATCGATCCTTTTCGAGAGGTAAGTTTGATAGCTGTTATCTACATTGTGAATGAGCCCGGTCACTAAGCCCATATAATGTTAGGTCCTTGTTCTAAAAATCTATTTTTGAATGTCCAACAGCACATCAGAGTTTAAAATGCAAAATATATGACGTTAGTTAATGAGGACATCTCCGGCTTTATAGTGTGCACCTAGAAGTTCGCAGCAGAAGCAGAAACAAACAATTACGAGTGTCAGGATTTCCCGACAAACAAAATAATCACAGTAAAAGAGCAATACGAAACGCAGAATCCCGTGAAAAACGACGTCCTTAAAAGCAGAGCTGTCGACTGACGCGGGCGGGCCCCACTTCCTCTACGGCGATAGGCGCTTCAGATCCGAAGCCGCCGACTAGGGCACCCACCGGCTACAGCCTGTCTCACCAGCAACGCTGCCCTAAAATTCCTATTTTCCATTTAATTTAACCTCAAAACAATTAGCTTATTAAATTCTTTTCTTAAATTACACGCTAACCATCGTCTGAAAATTTTAACAAGTCCATAAGCCAAAAATCAGTAGGTTTTTCTGCGGGGACATTTACATTCATACCACCCACTTCCAATTTTTATATATCTAACATATAAATTTTATTTTTTACATTTATATCACTCAAATATTTCATATTACACCAAAAATATTATTAATTTTTAGATAGGATATATTTTTTTCCATAAAAAATAGAATATATAAATATATATATGTAAAAGCTAAAGTTTAGATGTTTGATATATGAATATAAGAAATTGATTGGTATCTATGCAAAAGTTCATTTTTTTTTTTATTTCCTTAATTTAAGTCAAGAAGAAACTTTTGCAATTTAATTTTGAAGTTGAAATTAAATTCAATGTCTTGGGACTTTGACACACAACACTAAACTTTTTTCAATTCACATATTAATATTTCATATTCACTCAATGTTTATATAAATTTTAAATAACAGCAAAATATCACCGATATAACCTTTCGTTAACTCTCATTAAACCGAAATAGAGCATAGTCGCGGCATAGACATTAATGTTGGCTTACAAGAGGACTGAGGAGCACATGTGTGACATATTATATATACAAGAGGACTCAGTAGCTAGTTGCACAACCATATATTCGCCAACCAACATATAGTTGTACTCGTTAGAGGTGAATTTCGTGATAACATAACTAATCTCTGATGTGCATGAAAACTCTACAATGAAACCAACCCTTGCTCTAACAACTTTATTATAGTAGTTAAATAGGGGCTAAGATAATTTTATTTTTAATTATTTAGATCATTAAATAGAGTGTTGGGTGACTAAATATAGCATTTTAAGTATTAAAAACATAAATAAATGTTTTGTTCATAAATTCACTCCTTTTTTATCACACCAAAATTTATTTAGCTAAACTAAACACTACTTAAAAATTAATATTTTGTTCATAATCTATATAATCAGTGCTACTCAACGACTCATAATACTAAACATATATTCACTTTAACTAACACGTAATGAATAATGTTAAACAAACCCTCAACAACAACTAATATTTTAACCCTCTAAGAAAATTTTACTCCCCCCTCTCACCCAAATTACAAATTTACAATCTTCACCAAACCCCACCCCGGCGGGTCCCACCACAGGTTAGCCGGTGCTAATCCCCCTTCCCTAACCTAACGACTAATCACCCGAAATAACCTCACGATATAAAATGGAGCCGTAAGTAACAAGTTCTCTGATTTGCCCCGTCTCAAGTCTTCCTTACCCCCCCACCTTCTCCTTCTCCTTCTCCTTCTCCTTGCCCACACCAACCAGCCATGAAATCCTTCGCCGGAACCCGCTTCATACTCCTCCAACCATCTCTCCCCAAACACAACACCGCCGCCGCCGCCTCCGCCGCCTCCGCCATCACACCACCTTCCTCCGCCCACCACCGCCTCTTGCTCGTCGCCCTCATCTCCCTCTTCGCCCTCGCCTCCATCCTCACCCTCCTTTCCTCCACCTCCGGCGAATCCCCTTCCCTCCTCCGCGCCACCGCATCCCTCTCCCCCATTACAACTCCCGTTCCGGCGACCCCTCTTCACCCGATCCTCTTCGATTCCCTCCTCCACTACGCCACCCAATCCGCCTCCAACGGCCGCATGTCGGACCTCGACCTCCGCTCCATTGCGGCGGTCCTCCGCCGCCGCGGCCCCTGCAATCTTCTCGTCTTCGGTCTCGGCCCTGAAAGCCTCCTCTGGCGCTCCCTCAACCACGGCGGGCGCACCGTCTTCGTCGACGAGAACCAGTACTACATCTCCCATTACGAGGAGCGCCATCCCGGCCTCGAGGGCTATGATGTCGCCTACACTACGAAGGTGAGCGAGCTCGGAGAACTGATCGCCGCCGTGCGGAAGCAGATCGGCGGCGAGTGTCGGCCGATACAGAATCTTCTATTTTCGGACTGCCGGCTTGCCATCAATGATTTGCCGAACCATTTGTACGATGTGGGGTGGGATGTGATACTCGTGGATGGGCCGAGGGGGTACTCGCCGGCTAGCCCGGGGAGGATGTCGGCGATCTTCACGGCGGCGGTGTTGGCGAGATCTGGGGGTGCGGGGCCAACGGATGTGCTGGTGCACGATTATGAGAGGGAGGTGGAGCGGGTGTGCAGCGCGGAGTTTTTATGCGGTGAGAACCTTCTGGGAGTTGCAGGACAGCTCGCGCATTTTGTGGTGCGGGGTGGTGGCGCGGCGAGGAAGGATGATTTCTGCTTCAACCGGACAGCGACGGCGGTGGCGATGTTGTAGGATCTGGTTTGATTAATTAATTAATTGATTACAGCTTTTGTGTTTTTCTTTTTATTTTATTTTTTGTAATTTTTTTGTACGAACTACTGTAAGGAATATGGCACATAAATGTGGCGGTTGTTATATTGTGATGATGGGACTGTAAAGCGGGAGTGGTGGGTGCTTTTCATTTTAAGTGCCAGATTTTTTTCTTTCTTTATATATATATATATATATATATATATATATTTGTGCTCATAATTTGCTGAATTTTCCTTATAATTTTATAGGTCCTTATATTATTATCTTTATCGGGGGTGGATGTGCTCAATTAGTGGCGTATGTGTTGGTTAATCTAAATTTTAATCTAATTAAGTGTAATTTTAATCTAATATCTATTAGAATTATTATTATCATAATTTTTTGAAAAATTTATGAAAATTACAATCATTAAAATTACCGAGCAAGTGTGTTGCGAATTTGAACCGTTGTGTTGATGCGGATGCACCAAAAATATGTGGAATGAAAAATCATGACTGTCATATCTTTCTTTAAATACGGTTTGCACCAATTGGAAATAAACATTCATGTAATACTTTGACAGCTCAAGAGATTATTTTCGCCTAGTTTTTACGATTGATTGAGCATCTATTGATACATTTACACTATGAGGCATTAATTTGAGGTCCGATACAGTACCGTTGGATGTATCAATTTGAGAGGTAATTACTTATTTATAAAGAATATTGTCAAATTATGCTAAGAAATATTTGCTTTTTAGATTTTTAAATAAGCTAAAGAGAATTGTAAGGAATAGGGTGTGTCCAGAGGAATCAATATGTAAAGCATATTAACTGTAGGAGACTACGACATTATGTTCCCACTATTTCAAGGAAGAAGAATACATGAAAGAAACATTAAGTTTGGTGTCTCAATCAACACTTTCTATTTTCTAGCGGTTAGGTGAAGCATCAAGGAGATTCACATCACGCTATCTTAATGATCAAAAACTTCGAGCAGCGATTTTTTATATTCTTCTCAATTGCAACAAAGTTCAACCCTTTATTGAGTAGGACATTTTTTATTATAGTTAACTCTTTCAAGTCGAAATGTGATGATGAGCTAATTCAGGAATTCAATGTACGAACAAATTATTCGTAGATTCATTAAATTCAGTTGAAGATGATGCCACCAATAAGAAGATTAAGAATAATTTTTCTAAATAGTTTACAATACATGTGAGTTACAATAGAGCTGGTAAATTTATAATATGAATGGTTATAGGTTTCATATGAGATTCTAATCTGAAGAAAAAAAAAAAAGACTTGTAATTTCGATGTTTGTGTTAAAGCAAACGAGAATGATTATTATGTGGTCCTCGAAGAAGTTGTTGAATTATCTTATGCTGACTCCATTAGAGGAAGTATTTTCCTATTTAACGTGCTTGATTCGATATTGCTCCTAATTATGGAACAGGAGTAAACCGACCATATAATATCGTAGAAGTGAAAGTGAACAACAGGTATGCTAAATTTGATCATTTCTTTCTAGCTCGACGAGCGGGTCAAGTTTACTATCTTTGATATCCCCATAGAGCAAGAGATAAAGTTGACTAGACGGTTGTCATATCTTGCGCCACATTAAGTGGTTGAATGGTTGGATTAAGAATTGAGCCACTCGGTTGAATAATCTTTTGTGTTACGCCCTAAGATCAAATCTGGCAACCCCAGCTGGCCTGACAGCAAAAACTGAAGCCTCTTCCTCTTCACGACAACTTTCTTCTTCCTTTCACCCTCTGAGTGATTCCATTCCTTTGCTTTTCCAAAAATGAAACAGATCAAATTCTTTATAGAAACATCAACTTATGACTAAGTTTTTCCATGGTCTAATTGAACCATAGTGTGAAATGTGTTCTACCCAGGCAAAAGGAAGTGTGTAATGAAGCATGAAGAGCAACCTATTTATAGAAATCATTAAATTTGAAATCAAGAGACTTCAATCATTGAGTCATTAATTATAATTGAATAGGATCTACTTTTTACATTTACTTCTCTTATTGTTATTGCAGCATCACATTCAAGAAGTAAGAGAATAAAATAGTTAAAATACATACATAAAAAAGATGTCAGTGCTGATCTCATGCGGATCTAATAGTCCAAAGGAAGCATTATGAATGAAGATCCCCTACAAGGAGATCAAACTGTATGAGGATGGCCGACAGGTACCAACCAAGTAGATCACCTTAAACTTCATCAGGAGAACGTTCATATCTCCAACTAAGAGAAATCATAATCAACGAAAGAGTCAATTTCACAAAGCATCTTCAACCATTCAAGAGAAACCAAAAGACTTCTCGTCAGAAATAGGATCTCTGTGCCAACTAAGCTGAGCCAATCGAGCCTTATTCACTGGGATAATCGACCGAGCCAAGTCAACCAAGCTCAGTCTTCTGAATTGATATGATCGAACCAAAAAACTACGTGATAATGAGTTATCATTTATAAAATATCTAAAAAAACCTAGCATAACCTCATCTAGATAGGGGCAAAAATATAAAATCACTATTATACTAAATTCTTTATAAATAGAAGTAGCTTTTAATAGAGAGGGATATGCGATTTTTACTGCTCATCTGAAAAATTATATCTCTAATATAGAACCTCTTGCACGCTCTCTCTTTATCTTCCTACTCTTCTCTCACATACTCTATTTCTTGGATATAATTCACAAACATATGAATTTAATAATAATTATACTTAAATTATAAAATATTATTTTCAAACTAGTGGGATACATGTTTCTCTCTCTCCTAAAGCATCATCAATGCAACACGTTGAATTATAAAATATTTCCTAATTTTAATGGGAAATTCAAATAGTTAAGAAAAAAAAGCTCCCGGCGGCACATTCATCACTCATTAGTTTCCTTCGGCCATTAAAAAAGAAAAATTATGAAACAATTAATTTTATTTCATAAATTAAATTAAGAGGCTCCTGATTAATTTTTGATTTTTACATTTTCAATAATTATATTTTATTTATATCAAAATTTATGAGGACTGAGTTTTTTTCATGAAAAGAAAAAAAAAAAAAAAGACTGTCGGTGGATCACGAGGGAGCAGAGGCCGTCAGCTATATTAACGGTTCAAATGCTGTACAGATTCGTGTACGTTAATGTTTTCAAATTTCAACCTTCCTTCACACGAAAGGACCGCCTACACGTGTGGTGACCGGGGTGTGTAAGAAGAGAAATATAGGAGGATGAAGTCGAGCACGATTTTTGGCACGTGGGAGGAGGGACATGTGTCAGGAGCGTTATTATTATTTTGGAATTTTATACATGCAGTATACAATTTTAAGCATAGAAACTTTTAAATTTTGGGAATTCAACACACTAATAAGCTGAATATGAAAAAAAAAATCACATTTGATAATTTTGATTCATAAAATACATTAATAAAATATAGGCACATTGTGTTAACATAAGCCATCAAATTAGCTATATATATATAATATATATATATATATAATGAATATGCATAAAAATCGATGTTTAATTTTTATTCTACAGATAATAATTAATGAGCTAAAATCACCTAAAAGTATAGATTAAATAAAAAATCAAAATAAGAGAATATTTCATCTTTATCCCCACAAATAATAATAATAATAATAAAGGAAAAGGAAAAATCCATGAGTGCATTTGTTTGCGAACCGCATCATTATCACTCATAATTTGCTTAATATTTGTCTTGATATGAACTTCAAATTAGTGCGATGTAAAACAAATCTTCGAGCTTCATGCATAAAGTCTCAACCCTCATTAGATGGTTATTCTTAATCATAGAAAACAGATCAATTTATTAGTGCATTTTCCATAGTTGTTATAAATATCCAATCTCATTTTTCATAAAATTCCATTATTGATGTCATTTTGTTCAAAATATTATCTCGAGATTCATATCATGCCTCGAGATTTATGTCAAATGATAGAAATTTATTATAGATTATCACACATAGAAAGTTTCTACATTTTTATTTTTAAAGAGGGATATAGTTTTTGACATGAAAATTGAAGTGTAGGTGTCAGGTATGTAAATGCATAATAATTGAGTGGCATATATGTAAATCTTCCTAATCTAAAATAACTAAATCCATCACATCTAAGTTCATCTCTAATAATTGTAAGAGTTGGTGCATTGATTCATTAGGTAACGAAAGCGACGAAATCGGGGCCGAGAAATCTCTTGCTCTTGTGTGTAGCCAAAAGAGTAGCTGATAAGTGGCGTAATGTTCTATCCAAAGCGAAGAAATCGTTAGCCTTCCTTTTCCATAACCCGTCGTCTTCCATGGAAGAAATGGTACTGCTTGGCTGCTTTCTTTTTATATAATATTTCATTAAATTAAACCGGCTTTACAGGGGGCGTGTGCCCGTGTTGCGAGTACGATTTGGTGCGGAATTGAATGCGGCCAATTTACACCTAAACCAACCAAATTCTGTCCTTAGTCTAATAAAACAACAAACATTTATATTGTACATTTAAAGTATGTTAGCATATATCTCAAGACAGATGAATCACTTGACAATAAAATGCGACCGATCGAATAGTTCTTTCAAGAATCATTTTTGGGCTGAATATTGACTAGAGAACCGTCTTGTTCGAACGATCGATGGAAGGCGCCAGGATAAGCTCCTGCAGGGTGGTAATCAGCTTTCAGAATGATCGACATTGAGCACTCTTTAGAACTATATATCGATCCAGTCAATGTTCATCTGAGAATTGACTGCTCCCATCAATCGAATCAGTTATCGGTCACCGTTTTTATTATATGCGAATAACTTTATAATTACCGAAAAGTTGCTCTGAAAAGTTAATGATGAATGGGTTAATATGCACTTTTATAATGTCGGCATCTATCCGTATAAACAGGAGGCCATGTCATGAATAAATGATACTCAATTTTACTGTTTTTTACTGTGCTTTCTTTTTCTTTCGCTCTCTTCTGAACTGCTTCCTAGCAGAACATTCTACTCTTTGTATTACTGCACATTGACAATGACAAAACTTGATCAAATGAAGCCTCATTTTGATATGAAATTTATTGAAGTTTTTATATTGGACTTTCGTATAAGCGTTCTGGATAGATATATTACT